TCCCCAACAGCTCAAGGGGACCGAGGACCGAATCCTCAACACCATCTGCCCAGCCTTGAAGGCAGCACCTCTCCATCCCAACTAGCCCAACTGTGCATCCTGGAGGCTCACAGGTTGATCCCATAAACCCAGCACAGTGGGAACGGCCAAGATGCCTCAGAACCCCAACCCATCCCAAATCCCACCCTGAACCTGCGGGTGATGGTTTCTAGCAGCCAGACCCCCTCCTGCAGGGTGCCGTCAGCTCCCAGCATGTGCAGAGGAAGTCTGGCATGAGGGATCAAAACACAATTATGCCACTGAGCCTCAGCTGCTGTCATCCCCATGTGGGGAGAGATTAGATGCTACACATTAGCGTGATTGTTAATGACTCTGGAAAACTGATGTTGAGAAACAAGTGTGGCAGCACCCGGTGAGGACAGCCCAGCTATTAGCCTGTCACCTCATGCTCCAAGAGCTCCAGCTTTTGTGTGATGTTGGAGAGCATCAATACAAGAAAACACCAACCCTAGCAGCTGCTGAGGGGGAGCATTCACTTGATTTTCTCTGGAAAAGTGTTTAGGAGTGGTGCTTGCTAAACTCATGCATTTTGGGTGAGCCATGGTCATGACCTCTTTGGGTTTGGCATGGTCTACTCTTCCTCCATGAGGCTGTGGTGGGTGGAGAGAGGCTGTCTCACCTGCAGCCATCATAGGATGAGGAGATGCAGGCTGCCAGAGCTGTTGGTTCCCCATCCCTGAAGGTGCTCAAGGCCAGGTTGGATGGGGCTCTGGGCAGCCTGAGCTGGTGCGGGCACCCAGCCCGTGGCAGGGGGGTGGAGTTGGGTGGGCTTTGAGACCTCCTCCAACCAAAGCCACGCTATGATTCTGTGATTCTGTGCCTTAGGTAAATTCAGACTTTCACAATTCCCCCACTGAACCAGGAAACCATTTCAAGCCGCCAATGGCTCAACCCATGCTTGGGGTGAGAGAGGTAACAGAGATTTCTCAAATGATGCCCTTTTGGGGCCGCAGCCCTTTCCCCTGCAGATTTGCAGGCCATCACCCGCCCGGGAGGTGCTTGGATGGGGCCGTACATCCTTTCAACACCAAAGTCTGGCCTGGCTCTGAGCAGAAAGGCACCCAGGAGACACTTTGATGGCAGGCCGTTAGCAGAACAATGCCGGGCCATCATTTTCTTTATCTGCTCGCAGCACACCCGCAGCTCCTGTCTGCGCTGGGACTCCTCTGGTGTGGCTGCGCTGGGGAGCTTTGGTGGTGCTGGAAAGATGCTGTGTGAGCTCACAGAAGCCGTGGTGTCGGCTTGTCCTTCTTATTCCCTGTTCTACGACCTTTATTTCTGTCTTCTTCATTTTTCCTCTTTGGCCACTGCAGCCGTTCTCCCTGGATACTGCATCCATGACTACACCTTTCCCCTGGTCATTAATTCAGAACCTGCCCAGGTGGGAAACTGGTTCAGGTTATAGCCATGAATATTAGCACAGCAATATTCATTATCTTTGTGACAGCAGTGTCTTTCTAGCCCTCACCTGAGAATGTTTTCTCTTAGAAATGTTTGATTATTCTGCTCAAATAAACTTTGCTAGGTACCTTTAGGTCTTGGTTAGGCACTTGGTTAGGCACTAGCATTTGAGGTCAGGTTGGATGGGGCCCTGGGCAGCTGATCAATCCCCAATCAACTGTCCATGGCAGAGGGTTGGAACTAGATGGTGTTTAATGTCCCCTCCAAGCTAAGCCATTCTCTGTCTATGACTGTCCTTATGCTATCCTTCAGGCTGCCCCATGGAAGCGGTGGTTCTCCCATACTTCAGTAACCAAGACTTGCATAGCAGTCCTGCTGCACGCAGCCTTACACATCACCCTGGGTGAGAGGGGCCAGAAAAACATCAGCTCATCATTTCCAGCGAGTGCTGTGCTGGTAAGAGGCAGCGGGGCGGTGCAGGACTGAACGGATCAATACAGAGATCAGACAGCAGAGCTGGGGATGACTGAGCAGATATGGGGTTATGGGGTCTGTATGGTCCTGCCCCGAAGGACCTTTTGCTCCAGGAGCTGAGGGGCACATTGTGGCCGTGATAAGGGGTGGTGGCATTTACCGGCATGGATCCTTGGCAGGTTGTCCCCAAGGGAAAGGCAGCCTGGAAGCATGGTGCTAAAAGAAGTTGGGAAGCACAGAAATGCAGGTGAAGGAGCTGGTTTGGAGAGCAGAGCAGTCTGCTGGAAGCCCCCAAACCCAGGGGGAAGGAGCTGCAGCCTGGCCCCACTGGAGAGAGCTCTTGCAGGAGGAGCTGATTTCATCCTTCATGGAGATGCTTCTTGAAAGAGCAATTTGCCAGCATCCCTCAGAGCAATAACGGCAAGGCCTCCGCTCGAGATACCATCTCTGCGCGCTGACAGCCCCATCACTCACACCCCGCTCCAGCCTCCCTCTTCCAACAGGAGCAGGAGTGAAGGATGGAGGCAGGGATGGCACAGTCCCACTGCCAATGATCCCATCTCCTTTGGGACCTGAAGCAGCGGTGGCCTCACTGAGCATCCCCTTCCACCTGGGGGAGGACATGGATGCTCGGCCTGGCAGATGCAGTGGACCCTAAACAGGTTTCACACATGTGCAGGTGTGATGCCAAGTGCCACGAGGTTGTGACCTCCAGGATAAAGGGAGCCCTGCTCCCAAGCAAGCACTGGTTTTGCAGGTTGTGGAGTGTCCTGGCCTCCTGTGCTGTGCAGCACCTGGATGGGATGCTGGCTTTTGGGTGTAACAAGGAAGGAGGGTAGAGGGGACAGAGAGGTTCCATAGACTGGGAGATGTATGAGGGAATGGAAAGGCAGTGCTTCTCTGTAGCGATCTGTGATATGACACAGAATGGCATCTCTCTGCCATGGATGGGGAAACTGAGGCAGGGAGCAAAAAAACCAATCAGGCAGTTCCTCCTCTAGTTCTGTTAACCCCCATTAACCTGTGGTGTGGGGCTCACCAGAGATCCAGGTGTTCTTCAGAAATGGGGCTGGAGGAGGAGCTTGCCCTCGAACCTGGGTATTTATTCACTATGTGCTTTGATTCTTTGGGGGAGGTTTATGGATCTGTTTTTCCCTCCAGAAGTACCCATAGGAGCAAGATTGAATTCTTGTGCCCCACTCTGACATCTCCAGACCTGTGATATGGGAGCATGCAGCTGGTGAAGAGTTACAGGTATGTGAGCCCTGCTGGGACCAGCTCCCATGAGCAGGGCTACAGGTGGGCATGTTGCACTTGCAAGTCCCTGGAGGTGTCTGTTCAGCCCCTGCAGAGATTTGTCTGCCTTTTCACTCAGAGTGGCAGAAGCAGACCCTTGAAATATTCAGAGCCCAACACCTGTAATTCCTCCCTTCTCCCATGCATCGTCCCCTTAGCACTGATGCCTCCGTGCAGAGGAGCAGAGATGTGAAACTACAGGGGGGGAGGGAGGAAAAAAAGAAAAAAAGGCATGCAGAAAAGCACTGTAGAAAAGCCGAGCAAATTAAGCAGTGCTGTGATCTGCTTGGGTTTGTGCTTGCCAAAAATGCACCATGCATCTTAATTCGCTCTGCTGTTCAGCTCGCGCTCACTGCTCTCCTGATGCCATTTCGGCGCTCTGAGCTCAGCCTTTTCAACACTTCAGTCTTCCTCTTTCAGGAACGGGTTGTGGTGGGGATTTTTTTTTTATTATTTTTTTATTTTTATTTTTTAATTATTATTTTTGCATGTCTGATTGCAGAATCTGCTGCAGGAGAAAGGGAGGAAGAGCAGGAGGGGGG